CAAGTTCATCCTCGATCAGGGCCGCGTGACACTGAGTGGACCACCTGCCAATCAGGCCGGCATGGTGTCCGGCCGAGCCGCGTCGGGACGTGTCCACAGGGAGGGTGGAGTGGCGCGGCGTGGCGTGGCGAGGCGTTCTCTCCTCCACCGGGGAGAGGGGCGCTCCGTCCTGATTCTGCTGCTCTTTGTTCGATATTGCGGCGCCAACGCTTGCGCGCTGCTACACGGTTCGCGGCGGGGTCCGCCTGGTAGCAGCAGCAGCGCGTCGGCGGCGCGACCTTGGGAGAGAGCACCTCGCCGCGCTCCTAGCCGCCCCGCCGCGCCCCGCTCCTAGCCACCCCGCCTCACACCCCGCCCCGCCTGTCACCGGCTCGACGTATATATTCCCTTTCAGACCTCGCCTCGCAATGTCTTTCCCTCCGCCGTTCGCCGTTTTTTCCTCATTCGTTTCAAAATAACCCCCATGAGCCTCCTGCTTGCGCCGCTTGCGCGATCAGCTGATTGGGACGGGCGCGGTGAGGCGAGCCAGGCGCTCCAAGCGCGCTCAAATAACCTGCGGGCGGGCCGGGCGGGCTCGCCTTGCGGAGTGGAGCAGCGGGCGGGCCGGGCGGGCGGTGCACTCTCGCCGACCGCAAATTTCGAACGCGCGATGACGTTGATGAAAGTTGAGAGTCGGCTGAGCCCGGGCTTGTTTGTTCTCCCTCTCTCTTTCTCTCTCGCACTCGCATCGCGCATCCGCTTAGCGACGACGACGGGGGTGTTTATTAGTTAATGTAAACACGGGTGGGAAAAACGGTCCCCGACCAGGGTCAACAGCGCGGGCGAAGAAACTGGCGTGGGCATCAGGTATGCATGCTGCAGGGGAACGTCTCGGAGGCGACCGGACAGAAGAATAACAGCGACGCTTTTGTGACTGCCGGCCGTGTGCCTTTTCGCACCGGTCCCGATTTAGTGCGCCGATAAACGTGATCGGTCGGATATATCCCCGCGCGCGGATATTTGGCTCGCTGCTCGGCTCCGCTCTGCGGCCGGCGGCAAGGTCATCATCGTCCACACGTAACAGGTCACCGATTAGATACCGAGCCGTTAAGCGACCGGAGAGAGAGAGAGAGAGAGAGGGGCGGGCGGGGGCGGAAAGGAAGGACCTGCGCGCCCTGTACCTGCACTGATAAACAAAGCGTGCAACTGCGAGTTGTGCGCTTGAAAGTGTTCAACTGCAGGTTGTGTGCTTAAATGTCTTGAACTCGGTAGTTGTGCACTTTTACGCGTTCGACTCCTCTGTTAAACACCACACAGAGTGCGTAGAATTACAATTGAAGGGAAGTTCTCGAGTTCAGTGCGGCGTGACTATTCTGTGGACACGCTTTGCTGAGTTTTCCAATCCCCAAGATGATTAGTTACACTGAACGTGTTAAAATAGGAGTCGAACACGTGAAAATGCACATTTTTGTTCGAGGGTTGAACATGAGCACTACTTTGTTTAACAGACGAGATCGTCATCCTACCAACCACCGCGAATTTTGCTTGCAATGCCCTCTGACCATCTCAACAAAGATGGAAACAATTTTCACTATATTTGGTATGTAGTTAGTATGTACCGTTGGTTAGGCAGTCGTTAAAAGCCAAAACGTCAGGTTGTTTGTAAAATGGAAACGTTACAGTCATACCGTGGTGAGGTTATTTTTGTCAGTTATAAAGCATAATGAATGCGGAACAATCAGCCTTAACTGCACTGTCGTGCAGTCACGGCACACACTCGCTGACCGAGTGTGCGGCGAGCAAGCGCCCCGCGGCCGCGCGGCTAACGCTGACGAATTGAGCTAATAAACTCATCTCTCTGCTCGCGAGTGCGGGGCGTGACATAGGAAGTGGCGCGGCGGGGCCGGCGGCCGCAGGGGCACACGTGCCGAGGCTCGCTGCACTCAATGTCCTGGTGCACACGGTCAGTTGAAAACAACGGCGCAGGTGCGGGGCGTGGCGCGGCGCGGCGCGCGTTCCTGACGTGACTGTGACGTGTGGCGCGTGGTGGTGGTGTGCCGTATTGTTTGGCTTCATAACGCCCGCAGCGTCACGTGACAACTCTGCCATGAACTTGATGCGTTTTTCGAGGGTCAGGGCTGCTCACGCTTTCATGTATTTTAAGGATGGGCCTTAATCTCATCTAATCTGAGCGTCGCCGGTGCACGCGGGGCCTACCTGACCACGGCACTAGGACGATCAAAAAAAAAGTAGAAAATAAATAATAAATTACATGCAATAATATTTTTTTCTGTTTCCTCTCCGGCAGGCGAACAACGCTCCGCGCGTCTCTGGAGAAATGGTGCGGTTGGCGGGGCCGAGCTCGGGGCCCTCTCATTGGCATCCTCCGCACTTTACTTCCGGATGCGCAGCGCAGCGAGACAAAAGGCTTGCCATGCTGCTCAGGTGCCTCGCCGAGTGCCTCGCCTACCTCAAGGATGGTGCCCGGCGCGGCCCGGCCCGGCCCGCTGGAGTGCTCTGGAATGGCTCTGGCTGGACGCGCACTACACTGGGGGTCTCAAGCTCCAGCGTGAACCCCATCCTTACGCCATTAGCTTCTTGCAGTCCTTGCGCCAAAATACAATGTGGTATTGTGTCCAGCAGACATGCGGGTGTTGCGGGGCCTGCCTGGAGCTGCTCACCTGTTGGGGACTGGGATGCTGGAGCTGGAGGCGGCGTCCTGGGCGAGATGCACGTCGGCGTGAGCTGCAGCAGCGGGTCCTGGCTGTCAGGATGCTGTTGCCCTCCGACACGCGAGCTTCGCTACGCTACGCGCTACGGTCTCGGCGAGACTGAGGACGGTGCGGGCCACAACCAGGTTTGTGTTGCTCGGCTCCGACTCTGCGCGGCGCGGCTCTGTCAATCGGCACGACTCGTCTCGATGCCGGTCGACCAGCCTTTGCACTACTGCCGCTCGCCCGGCGGCGGTGGTGCGCGGCCAGCGGCCCACCGGCTGAAGAGGAGCGAGAGAGAAAGAGCGAGCGAGCGAGAGGGGCCGCTGACGGTGTGCTGCGCCTCGCCGCGCGCGCCAAGCGGAGGGGGTCTCGTTCTTCTAGGTGCCCGCTACGCCTAGCATTCGGGTGCTAGGCAACCCATTCGACGTTGGCGCCACGCAGGTAGGCCACCCGACCTACACTTACTGGGAGTGGAGTGGAGGGGTATCGCCGCAGCGCAGGGGCGTGGAGGGGCCTAAATGGTGCGCGGAGTAGCTCCGCGCGCCAGGAGTATCGTCGGATCGACGCCGGCCGCGGTGTGGCGCGAGGACGCGGGGTATCGTCCCGGCGAGCAACAAGCTGTGGCTCGGCGGGCCGGCGGCGGGGACTCTAGGCGGCGGGAGGAGAGAGAGCATGTCGGAAGTGGCGTGTGTGCTACTGGCCTTCCCTTCCTGGCCCCGGCCCGTTTCAACCCCCCGGCGGGCCCCCATTGCCCCGAGTGAGTGGCGGCCCAGAGTCGCTGCGGAGCTGCACGGGCACGTACGTACGCGCGCTCGTGCTTGCACAGCCTCCGCCCCGCTCCGCGGAGGATGGGGCTGGACCATCCTGGTCGCGCTCCTTCCAGTGCAAACACACGAGTTGTGCTAGCGACACTCTCACTGTGAAGAATAAAAATCCGACGAAGAGCCGGCCTGGCGGTCACCTGGTCATACTGTTTACTTTACAGCTCCTTACAAAACATATAGAGACATGTGTATCCTGTTTAGAGGGGAAGCAAAATTACACCTCCGCCTTGCTCGCCTTCCCGCCTCGCCGTGGCGCTGCTCGCTGTCTGCTTCCCCCAATGCTACGCTGGGGTCAGTCGGGGCGGGACGCTGCTCAGCCCGGTCCCACAATAACAACGGCGGGTCCAGGCGATGGGGACGCGATAGCGTGGAGGACACCCCCGGGACACCCCGCCCAGCCGGCCCGGCCCGGCACGGCCCAGCCAATCCAAGGACTTCCCTCTCGGTCGCCGCCTTTGGGAAAAATCATTTTTGGGCGAACGAACGGGCGGGCGGGCTGACGACTAATTAATGGCGGTCTGGAACGTGCGTGGGCGGGGCGGGGCGGGGCGGGGCGGCCCCCGGAACACACGGCATGTGTGTGAGAGAGACTGTGCGAGTGTTTGGACCGGGAGGCCCTGCTCGGCCCTGCCGCCGCTAAACGGGGCGCCCGCTCGTTCGGACCGATTGGTCGACCCTGGGTGTCAGGGCCCGCGGCCCCGCCCCGCCCCGCCCCGTAGCGCACCGGCGCAGAGCAGCACGCCACGGCCCTGACCCCGCCACGCCCCGCCACGCCCCTCGCATGTCGTCGCTAAGCGTGTGCCACCGCCGACCCACGCGGGCCGCGCCGCCCGACGACGCCGCCACGCCTTGTGCGATCTTATCTAATGACTACGCGAAAAAGACACAACTTCTGGTTCGGGACGACGCCTCCGCGGGAGGTCGCGGGGGGGTGCGCGCCGGGACACATTCCTCCGCGCCACACGATCGGACTGGACCACCCCCGCTGCGGCGCGTTCCTCGCATTGCTGCGTCGCGACGCGTAAGCGCGGTAGTGTGTGCGTGCGCATGTGGGGGAGCGGAGACCAGGTCTAGTCGCGGCGAGCTGCTCTGGAGAGTCGTGTGTTGATCCGAGGTCGCGAAAAGGAATGCACTCTCGTCTCTGCTCCACCCACCGCGCGATACTGGTGGCGGCGGGGCGGGGCGGGGGCTTTGGAGGGCTGCTGCTTGTTGTAGCGGCAGAGTGGTCTGTCGTGGCGTGCGGCTGTCCGACGGCCGCTTCCGCGTCTAGTCCTGCCGGGCTGGCCAGTGAGGGGTGGCGGGGCGGGGTGGGGCATCAGGGCGTCCGGGTCGCGGCCGGGGCGTGGCGGGGTGACGGGCGGGGTGCCTCACCTCACCCCACCGCACCTCACCGCGTCACCCCCCGCCAACTCCACCGCAGCTTCCGTGCCTGGTTTGCCTCCCCCGCTCTAGTGCGTGAGACAGCCGTGGAGCCTTGTTGTTGGCGTGCCGCGATAACATTCTAAATTGGGCCCCAGGCCACGGAGCGGTGGCGGCGCAGGTGTGGCTACTCTACCGTGATAGGACTGACATTTCTAGATGTGGACGGGGTGGGGCGTGGAGGGGCAGTGCAGGCTGATCTGCCTGGGATCCCGAACGTGACCGTGACTCAGAGTTCTCTGTATTGTGTCGCTCATTTTATTGTTTTCGTTGTTACAGATTCCCCTTCTCACCTGCTGCGCTCCACTTTGACTACGAAAACTTCAAAATTGTGTGCAACTGTGCAGAAAAATCTCAGCTGTAAGGACACCTTGGTGCCAATGGATTTCCACTACGCATCGTTTGAAATCAATTAAAATCCAACATATGGAGTAATAAAACATAGCGTTGAATACAATGCCTAGAGGGCAGATCACAACAATGATGACACCACCACCACCAACCACACTCCACCATCGCCTGTGGTAAGTATGAGCTTTGTTTTTATCGTGGCGATATTTGTGGCATTTTGCTGATGCTGTGGTCTTGGAAACTCTAAGCCTAACGAGATTTAGCTTGCAACATTTTCTCAGCTCATTACCTATCTACTGTATCTTCATCAGCAAACACTTGCCTTTCATTTCTGTCCCTCCCAGGCACCCTGGCAACACGCGCACCGAATGACCAGCGAGTGACCCTCACCACCACCATAGCGCCGCGGCCCGCTGCCAGAGACTTTTGAAACAAATTAGGAGGTCGATCATGTCGGGCCCAAGCAGCAGCCCTGCGCCGCCGCTTAATTTTGATCGTGACCGCCCCATTATCAATAGTGATTGCGTGTCGCGGCGCCAACGCCGTACGTACTTCCATGTAATGCCGTTACTTTCGCTCCGAGAACACGCTTGGAAATGGCCTAGCTCTCCGTGCGTTCGTTGTCTCAGAGGGGCGCGCGCCCCGCTCGCCTGTTGCTGCGCTCTACTCGCTCAAGGTGACGCGCCTGTACCGCCCGTCAGAAGGAGGCGACGCGACACCTCGGCGCCGATAACGCCAGCCGCTTATTGAGCGTCGAAACGACGCTCCGATGTGTTGCAATCATCTGTTCTCATTATGGTAATGGCGTAAGCAAAGCAGGCGCGGCCGGCGAGCAAGAGCAGGCGAGGGTCGCCGCCGGTCACCCCAGCCTGTCTATGGAGAAAGGAGCCGGCCGAGCTGGCTGGCGCGCAGGTGATGTGGGAATTGATTCGACGGCGTCGTCGTCGGGGCTGCTGCTCCGGCCACCACCCCCGGCACCCCCCGAGGAGGGGAGGAGGGTCACGCGCTCCTACTGCCTGCTGCTGCTGCAGACCTCCTGGGAGCTTGCAATTACTCATCGTGACTAATTGCAATAGGAATATTGTGCGCAAGGTAGGTAGAAAAAGTGCGAAATCGGCTTTACACCGCATGTCACCTCCTGGTTAGAAAAAGGCCGCTAATTGCTTGGAGCGTTTCCTTCATTCCTCAAGGCTGTGTGGAGGAGCGAGCGTGCCTGCGTGCCTACTCCGTCTGCGCGGCTCCGGCTTTTATTTTTCTCATCTGCAGAGAGATGCACTGACATCTGTCAGTTATCGTTTCAGGTCGAGCGCAGTCGGCGGGGATGATCACCGCCTCGGCCGGGATGCTGTCGCTGTCCTCGCCAGGCGCCGCGTTGCAACAGCCCTGCATTATACCCCGCGGAGTCAGCGACACCCACGCCGCGAGATAACTCAAGTAAGACTGCCGATCTGTTTGGGCAACCTGCCGCTAGCTAACCAAGTCAGCGATGCGGAAAAGGCAAAGCGGTATAAGGCGCCGCAAATAAGGCGCCGCCGAAGACAAACTCGCTTATTAGAAGGCGGGGCTCGGATTGGCAAAGCGCGGGAAAATAACTCGGTTTAATTTAATTTTTATTTTTTCGCCGAGCACGATTATCCGATAGTCCTCGTTGGTAATGTGAGTGGATCGTCACCGCAAACGTGTCCCAACCGCAAGTGCAGGCCGCCAAGGCTGGGCTCGGAGTCGTGCGGTGCGGCGGGCTGCACACTAGGGGCGGTGACGGATGGCCGGCGTCACGGCGAGCAGCACCCCGCCAGCTCCACGAGACCCCCGGGCCCACGGCCTCATAGCGTCATGTGATGGACGAGGTGGTCGTCTACGTCAATTGGAACATTTTTCTCCAGGGGGCGAACTACTGCCGCGCGTAACCAGAGGAGTATGTATGTGTGCTGCACCGCCGAGTGAACACACCATTCCGACCGACCGGCGAGGTAACTAAGCCGTAAAGTAAAACGATGAATTCTCCATAATACTAAAACTTAACCTCCCGTGGGCCCCCGTCGTGACGGTAATTAGCTGCGTGGTCACGTGGTCATGCGGCGCTGCGGCGCTCCTCTAGTGCTCCCGGCGGAGGAGTTCCCCATACCGTCCGGTCCTGGTTGTGCAACGGTCGGGGGTTATATGGGTCCTGATGCTGGCCGCTGCATCCATACACCGCGCCGGGTCCAGGGCCCCGGGCCGCCGCCGGACCGACCAGAGCGTGACAAACTGTATTCTGAATATTATTTTGGATGATCGCACGGGATGCCGCAATCACATTATGGGCTGGACGTGACGTCAGGCGAGGAACTTGCCTCACTCTCGCACCCACACTGCAGATTCACGCACCTTTGCGCGCGCGCGCACTCACACACACGCACACACATACGCACACGCGCGCGCGCACCGCGCGCCAGACTAGGACTAGACCGAGGACTAGACTGAGGTAGGAGGCGCAGTGCCAAATATACATAATATGATTGAGATAAGCTTTTATGATTATTATTATTATCCGATCGTCGTGAGAATGAATACGCTGGAAAAGGAGGCAAAGTGGCTCGCTGGCGAGCGCCGCAATCTGGTATGGCTCCCGCAGCAAGGATCGCTTTCGGGGGAGGTGCGGCGTGGCTGGCGGCGGAGCTGTGTGGCCATTGGCCATAGCCGTGCCGAGCAGTGGCGTGGCGCCGGAGAAATGCCGATTCAATTAGATTTGTCGTGGCAGTACATGCCAATAAGTGTGGTACGCGTGTCGGCCGCCAGCCTGCGCCAGCCGGAGCCGTAGATGCGATAATGAATTGGCTGCCCTGGTGGAGCCTCGTCAAGGGGCTTTGGCTCGCTTTGGCTAGCTCGCCTTGTTTCGACATCAGGGTGAAGAGCGCCCGCCCGTCGAGCGCTTCCGGCGCGCGTTCTGCTCTGGTTGTGCCGCAGCAGGCTGGCCCAGACTTTGAGCGGCCTGCACTTGTGCCGTGCCTCTCTGCTCTCCTCGGTGACTTCGACGCTGGAAGGGGCCTGGTGCGTAGTGAGTTTCCGTTCCGACTCTCGGAATGCGCAAGTTGTGGATAAAATGAAAGGGGAAAAGTGCGTCTAATGGCTCAGAGATTAGTGAAAGTTAAAAAAAAAATAAAAATCGGAACTCTTGCTGACTGCAATTAATTCGCTGGTTGGCCGGCGGGCTGGCCTGCAGCCTGTCCGCGCCGCCGCCGCGCTGGCCGCCCTCATAATTTGCTGCAAGGAGAACGGCCCGTTCATTTTCGATCGCTTTCGATTTTGAACGGCTACACTGGCCGCTGCTGCGCTGCTGCGCCGCGACGCCACGCCCCAGGGGCACACGGCTTTGCGATGACTATCCACGAATTTACAACCGAATAAGGCGTACGTGCACGTTCACTAGACACGTGCCTCACCTTGCATTTCGCATCTAGATTGCATTCGGGCATTGGGTCTAGCGGCGCAGGTTGCTTGTGCGGGCGGGGCCGCTTGTATCGCCCGTCACGTCGGCCTGGGCAACATTCCACCTCTCTTAGTCTGATTGGGACCTCACTAACCTCACTTGTCCAAACACTCAGCCTCCCACACCCGACCACCGTCGTCATCCCGCACGAACACACGCGGGTGCGGCGGGGCGGGGCGCCGGTGTACGCAAAGCGCTCCACGCCTATGCCCAAAATGAGTTCCTCTTCCTGGTGGTTTATCAATCTCGCCATAATAATGGAGGTGCTAGAAAAATTGCAAACTTTGACATTTATCGCCCGGCGCCGTATGGCGTACTGGAGGAGGGAATAATTTCGATCCCGATTGTCTTCGGGTTGATGGCGAAGGCGGCTGCGGCGCGGTTTGCCCCCTTTCGCGGCGGTCGTTGTACAATCGAGCGCCTACTTCCGAAGGTCCGCGGGCAGCGCCGCGGAGAGCGATCAATATGAGAAATCGCTCGGTATGCCGTTCGTTGCGGTGCTCAGGGAATGGGACTCATATGCCCGCCACTTCGCAACGACGGCGGCCGCTTGCTCGGCGCACTTCCTGCCGCACCGGTGGCCAATCAGCGCCGCTTCCAGTGCAAACAATGAGGAATAACTCTCGGGACGTTTGCCAGGCTGGTCTGCCGGGCGGAGGTGGACCGTCGCCCTTCAGCGGTGGGTGTGGTGGAGTCTGCCCGGCCCGGCCCGACCCCGGCACAATGCGGTGATTTGGTTGTCGCGGCCCGGCGGGCGGGCGGACCACGTGCCGCGCGGCCTGCGTCTAATAAATTGGAATCAAAACGCGGAATGATCATGTATTTAAGTCGCGCCGCGGGAGGAAGGCGGTGAGTAATTGTCTGACGTCGGCGGGACACAGCGGGCCGTCGTTAATGAATTAATAATTAAGAGGCAGATGGGGCAGGACAAACGCGGCGGGGCTGGGAGTAGAACCCGGGCCTCGGCTGACGACAAGGTGGTACGGTTGGTGGAAGGGATGTGTGAGTGTGAGGGAGGAGGAGGGGGGCCGAAAGGCGCACATCGCCCGGCCGGGCCAGCCGGGCCGCCCTGCGGACTCCAGGGGGGCCAAGGAGGAAGGCGAGGGGGGCAGGTGGTGAGGATGGCGGGGACGCCCGGGGGACGGCGTCGCGGCTGCGGCGGCGGCGGTGGGGCCGGCTGCAGCAGCGGCAGGGCCGGGCCGGGCCGCGGAGGCGCAGCGCCACGCCGCAGTGCTGCGAGGAACTCCGTGCGGTGAAAGTGTATCCCCAGCAGTGATTCAGTGCACACGGCGCCGCTCACCGCGAGCCGAGCCGAGCCGAACGCGAACCAGTGCGACTCGAACCAGCGACACTCAGGATTACTTCCGGACCCACCAGGCGGACCAGCCTGCGACACAGGGGACCCACTTCCGGGACACTTGAAGTGAGTGGCATGTCGCATGTCGTCGTCGGGGCGTGGTTACCGCCAGCTCGCCGAAGGGAGGGAGGGCGCCGGCGGGCACGCCGCGGACTTACCGTCGACGAGGTGGTCGTGGGCCTGCTGTTCCGCGCCAGGACAGCAGCGCCCACCTGCTGCTCGGATGCCAGAAACTCAACGCTGAGGTTGAGAGGGGACTGTGTTGTCGTGACCCCAGGGTGGCCGTCGTGGGGGCGGGCCTGACCCAAGCCTGCGCGAGCCCCGCAAAAGGTCCGTTAGAGCTCCGTATCGTGGACCATGCCCTGCACAGGACGGGCGTGAGATGCCCAGGTGGCGGCCGAAACGTAGTGGGAGTGAGGGAGAGGGAGCCATGTCACGAAGCAGACATCTTACTTACCACTCGCCACTCGCGGACGTGAAGTAGGTAAGCGAGCGGGCGCAGTGCAGGGCACTGTCGCGGACATGCCCGGGGCGCCAGTGGCGCGACCCTGCCGCGGGCCCCTCCGGCCTCCCTGAGCCTCTCCTTCCTCACCCAACTGTTGCTTCACTACCCCGTCAAGAAAAAAGAAATAACATGACGCGTGTCGTCGTGCACGGCGTAGCAAACGGTACAAAAACAAGGCTCCAACAATTGCACGCCTTTCTAAGACCACACAGCGAGGAGGGAAAGAGAGGGGCTGCCGTGCAAAACCTTCGCGCGCTCTGCTTGGAGGTCTGGCGGGGCTCGAAACCGCGGCGCGTCGTGACTGTGGGCGTGCGGCCTGCCCGCCCTGGCCTCCGACCAGCCCGACCTGCAGGTCGGGCGCGCTCGCGGTGCCGCGGCGGACGTGGCCTCCGACTCGACCAGCCTCTATAAGGGCGCCGTCGGGGTCCTCAACGGGGGGACTAAAGGTTGAGGGACTTCCCCACGGACGGGCGAGGGTGGGGATAAGGGGTTAGTGTTCGCGCCCGTCCTGCTAGTATACAAAGTGCTTGTAGTGCCAGCCCGCCCCACCGCCCTCCCGCCCCCGCAGCGGCCGATGTGTGAATGGCTGCCTTTGGCGAGCCTAAAGCTCGGAAAGTGAAAGCCCAGCCATCGCCCGCTCAGCCCTGCCGGCCCGGCCCGCCCAGACCGCCGACGCAACGGCCCGCTTTTGTGTTGATGAATTTGAGAAGCTAACATGGGTAATCTGCGCGCGTGCGTGGGCGCCTGTGCGCGTGTGTGTGTGTGTGTGTGTGTGTGTGTGTGTGCATGTGTGTGTGAATGCGGGGCGTACGATGGCGCCATCGGAACACGTCGCGAAGAGAAATTACAAGGTTCAGCAGCCCGCGCCCTACAGCAGCTCGTTTATTGTTGCATACACTCTGTGTGTGTGTGCGTCTGTGTGTTTTTTGCGCCTTTGTGGTGGTCCATGCGTTATTTTTTTCTCCATTGCTGCAGGGCCTGGGCCACACCGCAAATAAGGATTGTGGTGTGGACAAGGGATAGGAGCAGAGCGAGCGAGAGAGACAATGAGAGAGCGCGCGAGAGATTGAAAATTGCACTCTCACTGCGGGTAACGATTTGACCCGCGTGCGCGTGCGTATCACGTTTGCGATGAGTGAATTGCACTACGTTTTCCAATAAAATCCTTGGTTGTGGATTACGGCCCGCCGCTGCTGTTGCAACACCCCCGCCACGCCGCGCCACGACCGCGCACGCCGCGAGTGCATCGGTGCATCGCAGCACTGCCTCACGGTGCGGCGGGCGGGCGGCGCCCGGCAGCGCCCGGGGTACACAAGAAAAGCTGCAGGACTCGTTGGCAAAGCGGTCCGGAGACGAAATCGAAAGTGGCGCGGGTGTGGCGGGGCGGGCGGGGCGAGGCGTGGCGGGGAAGGTAACAGACCGGGTGGACCCCGCCCGCCGCGTCGTGCTCGCTAGTATGGTCATTCCCGCCGGCGGCCGAGAGAGGTGGGGGAGGGGTCTCCCTCAGGTCCCCCCTCGGGTTCCCCCGCGAGCGCTTGGCTCTTGGCTTGGCTGCCCGCCTGCCCTGGCCTGGACTGGTTTGGCCGAGACAGATCTTCCTCATTTCACTCGGACCTGCCCGCCCCGGTGCGCCTGCCCTCGGCCCCGCCGGGTCCCCGCAGCCCCGCCGCCGGGTTCACGTCATCGCGCTTGCTGCGTGAGAAGCGGAACGTGTTCGAGATATCGAAGGCGCACGCGGCGCCACGGGGGAGCGATCGATGTCTCTCCTCGCTCATGAAGTGGCCGGACTGGCGTTACGTCGTCGTGACGCCTCCTCATTGCCTTCGTTTCTTCTTCTTCTTCTTCTTCTTCTTCTTCTTCTTCTTCTTCTTCTTCTTCTTCTTCTTCTTCTTCTTCTTCTTCTTCTTCTTCTCTTTCTTCTTCTCCTCTTTCTTCTCCTTCTTCTCCTTCTCTTTCTTCTTCTCCTCTTTCTTCTCCTTCTTCTCCTTCTCTTTCTTCTCCTTCTTTTCGGCCCGTCGCGCTACCGGAGCCCCTGTCTCGGGCGGGATAGGCAACCCGCTCGCGCCGGCACGGAGACGGTGGCCTACCCCGCCCCTGCGCTCGCTGCTGACGCCGACCCGACCGCCCGCCGGGAACGCAATACGGCGCGATGAATCAAGCTTCGCCTAACCTTGCACGAAGAACTGGGATACGGTAGCGGTAGAACCGACTGTTTGTTGGACTACGTGTCGCACTGTTCCAAGCATGCATTACGGTACGGCAACGCTCGCCGTCTTAGCAGAGGTCGGCCGGCTTACGGCCAACTGCATGCAGCCGAGGGTGTCCCGGGGGACGGGGAGCAAAAGCAAGCGGGAGGCCGGCATGCTGGTGCGTATCGGCTACTTGTAATTGTTTTTCCCTGGAAAATCGAGCGGCGCGGCCTGCGGGCGGGCGCACCGGCCTTCGCTCATTTCAGCTTAGCGCAGCGCGGCGCCTCTGCGGCTGGCGCGGCGAATGGGGCGCAGGCCGGGGCGGCGGAGGTGAGCCGAGGGGGCAAGGCCTGCAAATAAGTGATATACTGGCGCTGTTTGATTGTGCCCGCCTGTCCCACTCATTCGAGCGGAGCGGATGTTTGACGAGCACGGCGGCGGCGGCGGGCGGACAGATGGCCGGGCGGCTATATTGCCCCCGCGCGCGTTTTCGCACCGCGCCGCCAACAGCCATAGCGCTGTCCGCGTCCGCGAGCGCGAACACCACCCCGCCGCTGCTTATTGACACTCCGACTCGAATGCGGTGCTTTGTTCGTGGGCGTGCCCTCCTCAGCGGCCGCCGCCCGTGGCTGCGGTCGCACTTTCTCGCTCAGGGTGTCGAGCGACCCTGGAAATTCGGGAAACCCGGGAAAAACCCTTGAATTTAATTTGGTCGGGAAAAACCCGGGAAAAACCCTTGAATTTTGCTCAAACCGGCTCAAACCCGGGAAAAATGCTCGCCCAGACCTCGTAACCGAGCTGCTGAGCTCCGTGCTGCCCTTCATGAAAATAAAATTGAAACTAATTCGCGTTTTTTCCCTTTTCTGATTCCTTTTCTAAAAACTAACACTAGGTACGAGTTTTAATGACAGATTTTGGGAAAATTTTGGCTGAAAAAAATGGACCCCTTTGAGCAAAATTTTGTGTCGACAGAGCCCCAAATTACCCTTGAATTTTGACGATTTTCACGCGGGAAAACCGGGAAAAACCCTTGAATTTTATACTCGGTTGCCGCTCGACACCCTGTCGCTGCTCCAGCATGCTGGACAATATCGGCCCTGCCCGGCTCGGCCGGCCGGTCAGATGCCACCCGCGGGGCGGCCGCGGCGTCCTTGCCCGCAGAATCCCTAATGAACGGCTGGAGGGGCGTATCGAATCCAGGCGCACGTCCCGTCCCGTCCCGTACAGGCCGGGGCGCCCTTCACCTCGCGCGACATGTGCACGCCGCCGCCGCAGCCGTGGACCCGACCGTATCTGCGGCTGACATATGCAGGGATCGATAAATCGCCGACATTGACCGCCGGCCGCACGTCGCGCGGAGCTGAGCGAGCGTCGCGCTGCCGTCGCCGTCGCCGCCGCCGTCCGTCTCGCGCGCGCGTACGGCGCGCCGTGGGATATGGCCGCGAGAACAGAAACGACAGCCGTGGGACTTGAGATCGAGCTTTTGTTTGCTTTTCTTTTGAGTCACGCGTTACGTTTTCCGACCCATTTCTGTAACTTCAACGGTACCTTATTCGGATCTTTTCCACCATCTGGATACCCCTTCTCCGAGCCTTCTCCCCATAATAACTGTTACATGCCAAACCTGTTCTCCTTTCTTTATTTACTGTACTGACTATTTACTAAGCTACTCTGGAAACTCAAGTGTGATACAGTCCAACAATTATAAGTGCAATACCATAAGTAAAACTGTAGTACCATCACTCTTAAAAGTGTAGTACCACACTGAACTTTTAAGTGTGATACATGTGTGGTACTACAGTTTTAACTGTAATACTCATGGTATGCACTCATGCACTTATGACTGTTGGACTGTATCAAACTTGAGTTTTCCAGAGTACACCAGGTTACCATTTACCTTTTACATCCCTAACTTTTCACCCTCAGACTTCTTCTGCACCTGCACCCCTCCATAACCCCTCCGATCCTCCGCCCCCTTTCA